ACCAGACTACACAGCGCAACAACCCAGAAGACAGAAATCTTCATACTCTGATGACGGAGGCAGTATGACCTCTGAAACGTTGGTTAACATCGACCAGACTACACAGCGCAACAACACAGAAGACGGATATCTTCATGGGTATACAATTTCATCTTTTAACTTTACATATCATACTTTGTCTTTCTGTAGCTTCAGAAAAAATTTCAATGCCAAGAATTATCTTATTTCAACATTACTGTACTTCTCAGCCTTGAACAGTGGCTTAGTTGTATGTTTTCTTAGATTTAGATTTTTATTGAGGGTCAATCAGCCTTATTGCAGCCTGTCTACATGTGCAGGGAAACGTTTCACATAATAGCGTGGACATACGATATATCACTCCATGAAGACTGAACTACCAATAAACAATACAGTTCTGTGACCCACTGGTGGTCTTCATGGTAATGAAAATTTACTTGCACGATCCACCAGTGACCCTCACGGGAGCCAGAATTTTAAGTGTGATATAAATTTCAGCCGTAAGGATCTGCCACTGAAGCAGTGTAAGACAGACATACTGCTAATAACTGGGGTGCTAAGCTCATATGCCAATGTGGTGGAAAAGCTGCATCGTGAATTGGAGAAGACAAAGGCCACTTTACTCAAGATTGAACGGGCAGGAGACGTCCTCCTGCAAGCAGTGAGTAAACAGATCAAACAAACACATAAAAGTACCTTGCCTCTTTGAAAAAATTATCTTAATGCTTACAGTTTGTGTGCAGTGGAATAAAGACATATAACATTTTTTTATTTCCTGTGTGCATGCGACTCATTTTTATATAAAGTCTGAAATAATTCCCTCTTAGAAGAATTGTAAATGTTTCGTTTCCAATAAAAATGTTTCTGGGGCCTGGGACATGGTACTGTTGAACCTTCTGATATTTGCTGTCCTCTGTTGGACATAAACCAAGTTACATTATAACGAAATTAAATCTAATTTAAAGTGAAAGATTATCTCTTTTCTGTAAAGTTTGTTACAGTCTCACGATATCATTTAAGTATAATTTTTTGTTTTATATATATATATTTATAAAATCTATATTTTTATTTGAAAACTCTCTTGAGTGACTTGATGGTAGTGCCTAATCTGTGCAGCTTCTGTTGAAAAGGAGAGAAGTAAAGTCAAGCTACCCTGCTACATGCTATGGAGGCACTAGAGGGGAGAGAAGGTATAGCTCCTACTTATTCTTGACCTCAGCATTTAGATGGGTACAAATCGTTAGCATCCTGCACCAGTCATGTTATACCCCCCAGTACCCATTAAATAGGTAACTGGGTGGGCCTGGATGCTGAAATTAGAAGAGAAATCCTTTTCCTCTACTGGTGATTGGACCCCTGTCGTGTAGTCTATAGATGCTGTACTGACTGAGCAACCTCGACTCATAAAGGAGAGAAGTAGAGATATCAATTTTTTTTTTTACCTTATCAGGCTTATGAATGAATAGTTTACTGTTATGTTCATATTTTGTAATCCTTTGTTTCACAGCCAGAGAAAGTAGCACATAGCATCCTTCTGTTCTGCAAAGGACAAGGATTGCTCACATCATTGACACTGCCTGGAGTAGAGAGGCAGAGGACGTTCTCAGGTAGCTCGGGTGACGGTGAAGGTCGGCCACGACGCCTGTCCCGAGGAATGAGCATGGAAGAGTACGACAAGCCTAATATCCGACGACTCTCCATCACTATCAACAGTGACAATTTGCCAAACAAGCACAATTAAACTATTTTTACATATCAGCTACATACACCTGTTCATATCAGAGGACCTGGTATCTTGTGCTCACTTCCTGTTCCCAGAATGAGTTGGCTCCTAGTAGATGATGAGCATTGAATTGAGTGTAATCAGACTTATGATTATAGGGCCTGGCATCATACTGCCTGTAGCAAACAGAAAATTCTGCTCCTCGTGTTAGGAATATAACCAGGCACAACAGCAGACCACCCACCACCTTAACAAATTGAACTATTTTTGTAAATTTGTGCAGGATCCTAATGTTACTTTTCTTACTGATTTAACAGACTAGTAACTAATGTTGAATTGGATCAGGTCAGATGAAGTTGGGAAAAATGTACAGTGTTTAGTAATCAAAATTAATAAACATCATAAACAATTAACAGGATATAAAGACAAACGGTAACAGTTGTTACATAATGAACACCAATTAATGTGTCATATCATTTCAGTAACAGTCATAAAAGGAATAATACGTTTTCTATTCATACCATTTACCTTCCACTGTGTTGTATCTGCAGAGACTTTATTACATTTGGTTTGGAATGCTGTGGTTTCATCATTCGGTCAACGTCTTGCAAGATCATTTTACCTTTGGCCTGTCTGTGTCATTGTAGGTACAACTCAGCTTGGTGTCGTAGGGTTGTCTTACTATCAGACGTACGAGGAGTTGGTTGCAGAGTAAAGTGTGAAAAGTTGTTAGGAGCAGGGCATCTTTCACTGAGTTTCTGTTTCTGCAAACATGGAAACACTTCATATTGAGTCAGAAGTGTATTGGGGAGTTTTGGAAGCTTTTTATAAACCTCGACCACATTCTTGCTACCAGTTGATATTACCCTAATGCTCTGTTATACCAGTCTTGTTCTTAACATCCAACTTATTACCATCAGTCTGGTCTATATAAGTCTTCCAAAACCTCACGGTGCACATTTATCTTGAAGATGGCTAATGCAGCATTTACTAAAATGTTGGAAAAACCTCAATATTCCCCAAAAAGCCAAAGTTCTACGATATCCATTAATTATACTACACAAAATGTAGGTCTACATTCTGTTCTCTGATGTTAATTAAAAGAAATTGAACATGGCAAGCAGCTGATTATTACATTTTAATTACTTTAAAAAATCCTTCATTCAGGATCAGAGCATACATATATGTTATAAAGAGAAAACTGTGAACAAGTTTTTCACAGTCAATCTATGAATATTCATATTTTATTAAAGTAGAATTTTTGTTATTTCCCCAGCAGAAAGCACATACTTCCTTAGGGTTAATTATGCTCATAATATTCAGGACTATATGTTAATTCTACATAGTTACTGGTCTTCTGAAATAATGACCATAGACCCTAAATAAAAGAGTCAGGAAAGACTTACACTCAGATATGAAGATAAATGGAAACATTTATAGAGATATTTATGGAATAATTAGTAAATTGAAAAAAAAATTATTCTTGGTTTTCATGCTGTGTGAAATTCAGATTGTAGGACAAATAAATTTGTCAGTATTACAGTAAGGAAACAGCTGATGTGTAGTATACAGTAATGCAATTGTACCATCTAGTGAAGCTTGTTATATTGTACATGACTAGCAGCAACCATTTTATATAGACCTAGTTACAGTATCACATAACACATTTGTACATGTAGTGAAACAATAAGTGCAATCAAGGATTGATTTAATGAAAATACAGAAAGCATTGAATAGTTCTTAGTTTTGTACCTATTTTATTTAAGGTACTCTATATATAATGTCAATTGTCAATGTTGGCCAAATAAATAGTATAAAATATATTTTATAATAGATATAAGTGGAAACATACGTTTTTGTACATAAAGTGGATTTTATCTGCACTTACATACAGTACAACACTTGCATGGTATGATAAAAGTACATTTTAATTTACAATGTACAAGCAATTTGTAAATGATGCACATCAGTTTATCAAATAATATATCACTTGAAAATGATGTTTTCTTGAGATACACAGAGGAGATTATGGAATGGTGATGTGAAACCTGGCTCAGTTTTTAAAAGTGTTTCACCTGTGGATAAATCAGTTTTATAATTGTTCAATAATCCGCTATCCAATGGACTATGTCTGTAATTGGACTGGTTAACTCATGCAGATATTTGAGATTCTGAGAAGATCTTCAGAGTTTTCTTTTGCAGAATTTAAATCAGCTGTACAGAACACAGGAATTAGACTGGAAACTTTACTGACATTCTAATTATGTTATGAAGTTCAAGGATTGTAGCTGCTTTTGGTTACCAGTTTGTGTAATTCATTACTATTAAATTGTTTTATTTGGTTCATCTATTTCCCCCCCCTCCCTATTCAAGTACTGTTGCCAGGTAATACACTGCTAAAGTACAAAAGAGATCTTGTAAGAACTTAAAATGTTTCTGTCGAGAGGCCTCAGATACATTTTTTTATTTACTTATGTTATGTTTGACACTGTCAATAGCTTAGACCAAAAAGCATCAGATGGTAGGATGATTAATGAACTGAGAGGGATATGGAAGGAAGTCATGACCTATTTTAATGTACTGTCACAGCATTTGCCTGAAGGGACTGAAGAAAACCACAACACTGAGGCTATCCAGTGTCTAAGCCAAGATTTTAACCCTAGATCTCCTGAATATGTAGTAGTACAAACCATTTAGTTGTGGCAGTCGTATGTGTTCTGAATTTATTAAATAGTTTCATTTTTATGAGCTTAAAATTCTTCAAAGTTGTCAAACATAACCTTAAAATATTTGTCATGAAGCTAACTCTGTGGAGCAGAGACCTTATCGCTTACAGTTGCTCAAGTAATCAAATTTCTGGCATTTTATAGAACCAGAAGGCTTTTTATCATGTTCACAAGAGCCTGCTACTGGTCGGTACTGAGCCAAGTGAATTCAAATAAGTCTAATTTAATAATATCCTCTTATCTCTGTGCTTGCTACTTCCCATCTCATCCTTTGTTCATCCCTATAATATTTGGTGAAGAGCAAAATTATGAAGCTCATTATGCAAGATTTGTGTCATCATTATAATGATACTTTGCAGGGCACAAAAGAAAGTTTAATTTCTGTATTATTTGTGTTATAGCTGAATATCACATGAAATTTTACATGCTGCATTTCGTTGCATAACTTTCACACTTTCTAAACAGTCTTTGGTGCATTCTCAACAGAAAGTGACATAAATATGCCTGTTAGCTTTGCCATGTCTCTCCATTCATGTTCCAGCATGTAACGACTTAAGAATTGCTCAATAGTTTTTTTTATTAAATTTGATATTTGGAAGTTTTACTAAACATTGTCAACACACCCCAAGTTTTGTTAAAATTGTACAATGAGGGATGCTTTCATCAAAATCCATCATGCATCTTGAGCATAACATCCTATTATTCACATGAGTGAAATGCATTTTGTACAGAAGTTACAGAAAAAATAAGCATATTTTATGCCCAATGCCCAATTTTGCAAAAATTGGTTTCAAGATCTGTTTTTGGAAGTTATACACAAAAAAACAATCTAAAAGGTGGTCATCTTTGTACTCTTGTCTTCCGGTTTTTGTGTTCAGTGTTCATTGTGTAACTTCAGCTTTCTGGTGTGGGATGCATCGAATGTTTTGTATTAACCAGCATTTTGACACATTAAAGCTACTATATAGAACAAATCTGTGAAAATGGCAAATGCAGTGTTTGTCGAAACGTTGGTTATTCTCAGTATTTTACGTGGCTTGCACTCGAAAGCCGAAGTTACACAGCTTCATACTCGGAGCCATGAGAACCTGAAACCTCGTGTTGTGAATGCGCACCTAGCGGTCGCTCAGGGAAGGAAGATATATTTGTAATTTGTAAGGATATCTGTGGTGGCCACCTTTGGATTATCTGTGCGTGCATTTGATGCTTGGTATTGAATGTCATCCTTCTAGTCTTCTGGTGTTAACTGTGATTATTTCGGTACAATTGTAGATTTCTTAACCTAAAAGGGGAAAACGATTTATGGTGTTACTGAAAATTCAGATAATGGGTTTGTTATCCCTACTGTACGTTTGTCACATGATAAAGAAACGTTTCAAGGCTCGTAAATGACCAGTATTGTTTTGCAATTTATGTATCATATGCTTGTAATATGTAACCCCTAAATATGTCTGTGTTGTCACTCATACCGACGATGGCTTTTGCAATCCACTCATTAGTTTCAGATATCTTTTTTACTGTTTTGGTAGGGAAACTTGGTTCAAAATTAGTATATTATACTTTATTTTGAATATACTGAAGGGTGTAATTGCAGTTCAGATCTGAATTGTAAATTCACCATATTATTGGAAGAAACAAATTCTAACTTGTAACCATGAAGGAGTAATTTTGGAAATTTGTTTACAGTGACAGATGTCAAATGGACAAAAATTTGAAATGGCAGCTGAACATACTATGAAGGAAATTAATGATGAAACTGCTGATATCAATGATGTGTTTAACTCTATAGCACTGAGTGAAGAGCAAAACAGTAGGGAGGGTTTCCAGGAAGGATTCCAGAAAGGATGTTTTGAAGGAGAAGTGGAAGGATTCCATTTGGGTTACCATCGAGGTGCTGAAATTGGTGCTGAAATAGGATATTATAAAGGTGTGATAGACATATTGCTAATTATTACTAACAAGAGGAAACAGGATATACCAGATAAAGTAGTCAGTGCCCTCCAGAAAGTGTCGGATGTCATAAACCATTTCCCTTCTTCTAATGTGGAAGATGTTGATACAATTGCTGCTCATGACAATGTGAGAGCTATGTTCAAGAAAGCTTGTGCCCTTCTCAAAATAGATGGCACATTTCCAGAATAATATGTAACCCCTAAATATGTCTGTGTTGTCACTCATACCGACGATGGCTTTTGCAATCCACTCATTAGTTTCAGATATCTTTTTTACTGTTTTGGTAGGGAAACTTGGTTCAAAATTAGTATATTATACTTTATTTTGAATATACTGAAGGGTGTAATTGCAGTTCAGATCTGAATTGTAAATTCACCATATTATTGGAAGAAACAAATTCTAACTTGTAACCATGAAGGAGTAATTTTGGAAATTTGTTTACAGTGACAGATGTCAAATGGACAAAAATTTGAAATGGCAGCTGAACATACTATGAAGGAAATTAATGATGAAACTGCTGATATCAATGATGTGTTTAACTCTATAGTCTGAGTGAAGAACATCTCTGTAGGGATCGTTTCCAGAAAGGATGTTTTGAAGAAGAAGTGGAAGGATTCCATTTGGTTTACCATCGAGGTGCTGAAATAGGATATTATAAAGGTGTGATAGACATATTGCTAATTATTAGTAAGAAGAGGAAACATGATATACCAGGTAAAGTAGTCGGTGCCCTCCAGAATATGTCGGATGTTATAAACCATTTCCCTTCTTCTGATGTGGAAGATTTTGATACAAATGTTGCTCATGACAATGTGAGAGCTAGGTTCAAGAAAGCTTGTGATCTACTCTAAATAGATGGCACATTTCCAGAATTAAGCAAATTTTCATTTTAAATGATGATAGTAGCAATCTTTGACAAAATGCAAGCAGAGATTGTTAGTAGGCTTGAAGAAATTATAAAGTATCTAAAACCATTGTTACCACTTGCAAATTGTCACATGGTGAATTTCATCACGAATGAGATGTGGGAAATTTATGTACCTGATGGTATAAAAAAAGAAGTTTCATCCGTAGAACTTGAAGTCCTTAACAAGGTATTTATGCATCATGCCAAAGGGATTTCTGTATGTGAACAAAAGAGTGAATTAATGGAAAGAATTCCAAACTTCATAAACTATCTTGACAGTGCAAAGGATGTTTTGAAGGAGAAGTGGAAGGATTCCATTTGGGTTACCATCGAGGTGCTGAAATTGGTGCTGAAATAGGATATTATAAAGGTGTGATAGACATATTGCTAATTATTACTAACAAGAGGAAACAGGATATACCAGATAAAGTAGTCAGTGCCCTCCAGAAAGTGTCGGATGTCATAAACCATTTCCCTTCTTCTAATGTGGAAGATGTTGATACAATTGCTGCTCATGACAATGTGAGAGCTATGTTCAAGAAAGCTTGTGCCCTTCTCAAAATAGATGGCACATTTCCAGAATTAAGCAAATTTTCATTTTAAATTATAATAATAGCAATCTTTGACAAAATGCAAGCAGAGATTGTTAGTAGGCTTGAAGAAATTATAAAGTATCTAAAACCATTGTTACCACTTGCAAATTGTCACATGGTGAATTTCATCACGAATGAGATGTGGGAAATTTATGTACCTGATGGTATAAAAAAAGAAGTTTCATCCGTAGAACTTGAAGTCCTTAACAAGGTATTTATGCATCATGCCAAAGGGATTTCTGTATGTGAACAAAAGAGTGAATTAATGGAAAGAATTCCAAACTTCATAAACTATCTTGACAGTGCAAGAAATATGGGTCTTCATGGAATTTCAGTGCAAGGAATAGTTACCTCAATGTCAGATCTACAGAAGAAACTAGTTGAATTGGGCTGTGAATGTCAGGAGAGTCTGCACATGGAACAGTTCATGACTCCGAAGAAGATGCATGAAGTTGAAGCTATGAGTCAGTTGGTCTCTGCATTAGCTCGTGTGTCTCAAGCTTCTCACGTGGTTGATGTCGGGGGCGGAAAGGGATATCTGAGTTCCATTCTGGCATTTCATTATGGGTTCAGAGTTCTTGGAGTAGACTCCTCACAAGTAAACACTCATGGCGCAGTCAAGAGGACTCAGAAACTGGAGGTATGTGAAAGGTTTATTGGTTATGTTACTTCTTCTATTGGACAGTAGCTTGTTCTAGTCATGACACAAGCATAATACGCTGCAGGTGATGCAGATACTTAAATATAAAATATATATCTCTTTGTCATAAGAATTGTTCATTGGGTCTTCCTTATTTTCTTCTTAACAGAAGGAATTTGTGGATTGCAATGTAATGTATTACTTTCTGTGAAGAAGTGAACTGGTGTATGTTATGGTAAACTTTAAGTGTTTCAGTATATGACTCAATTTGTTTGTTGTAAGGTCTTGGGTTCATTCATCATTCTGAGACGTGTTTAATTTTGTTTATAATTTGGTTTTCAGAAAATGCCGAATGTACTGTGCCATAGGGCCAACATATTTAAGCAAGGTAATTCTCAACCATGGAGGGGGAAACACAGGAAGTCTCAGATTAGTACGAAGATCTTGGAGGGCCGTGGATGTAACAGTGCTGAAAGTGGTACCACTTCTAAGCCCCAGTCACAAAGCAAGACTTTATACAAACAGGTGACAAAATTTGTAACACAACAGACAAACCTCTGCAGCTTAGTTAAAGAACACTTTCACCCAGATGGCCCTTGCTGGACTTTCATACATGCGGAGACCTTGCTGCTGACTGTTGTCGGATATTTGCCAGTAAGGAGGAGTTCAGCTGCTTGTGCAATCTTGGTTGCTGTTATCATCTGCTGGAAGAAGAATAAGTTTGGGCCCTATAGCCGGATATACTGGTAAAGTACAAAAAAGATCTGGTAAGAACTTATAATGTTTCTGTCGAGAGACCACAGATACATTTTTTTATCTATTTGCTTATGTTTTGTTTGGCACTGTCAATAGCTGAGACCAAAAAGCATCAAATTTTAGGATAATTAATGAACTGAAGGGGTTATGGAAGGACGTCATGACCTAGTTTAATGTACTGTCCTAACATTTGCCTGAAGGGACTGAAGTAAACCACAACACAGGCTATTCAGTGTCTGAGCCAAGATTTTAACCCAAGATCTCCTGAATATGTAGTAGTGCTAACCATTTAGTTGTGGCAGTCGTATGTGTTCTGAATTTATTAAATAGTTGCATTTTTATGAGCTTCAAATTCCTCAAAAGTTGTCAAACATAACCTTAAGTGATTTGTCATGAAGCTAACTGTATGGAACCGAGTCCTTATCGTTTACAGTTGCACAAGTAATCAAATTTCTGGCATTTTATAGACACAAAAGGCTTGTTACATGCAGGGGGGATAAGCAGGAGCTGGAAGGTTTATGATCTGTGAAGCAACAGACATTAATCCAGTATATAATTGTGGCGTGCACGATGGACTGTATTATATATTGCCAACACCCAGAGGTTGATATGGAGAAAATGGCTAGCTGTCTTGTTTTTTTTTCTTAGTCAGAGAGACGTGGTGGGTGTGGTCGTAATTTTATATTTACCCTTTCCTTTTGACAGCTGCCAAGTGAATCACTTTTCTTCCGAGCCTTGCTACAGGTCCTGGTGTTCAACAAATTTGGTAATGATATTCCGTGGGGTCAAGTCGGCCGACTTAAATACCATAACTTTGCGGATTATGTACAAAAAGCCGTGAAGAAACTACACCTCAATATTGATGTGAGTCTGGTGGATTTATATGAAGTGTTAACGATTGTAAATGATCTCTGTACTTACAAATATTTATTTTAGAATATCAAAGCTTATTATAGTTACAGAAATTTTAGGACATACATGACATTTAAAATTCACAATGCATGCTTTTGTTATGCTTGAACACCACTCTAGATGTCTTGTAGTACAAAAGAGCTGGCACTATTTTAACGGAAGTGTTTCTTGTCACGCCTGTTTGCAGGTGAGTACAGATGAGATCGAGTCACTTTACAAGGAACATTCTGTTGACCAGCAGCTGTTGCATGTATTCTTCATTATGAGGGTTGCCTTGGCTCCAGTAATTGAAGCTGTCATTCTGTTAGATAGACTTCTTTATTTGCATGAACAGGTAAGTTACAAATCTGCATATACTTTGTGTGTGTGCCGCTACGTGTGTTGACATGGATAAGAGAAGAAAAGACTGTGTTAAGGACAGCAGGTTTCAAGCTGCGTAACAACGTGGAATAGTAGGATTTGAGGTTTTCACAGCACTGACTATTAAGATTGCCGTCTTCTGGGTTATAGCGCCACGTCTGGTAGAAGTTTACTGACATTTCAGAGGTCCTTGCTGCCTCCATCATCAGGATGATGAATAAGCCATGCGAGTGGAAAGCTCTAGAGTTATATGGATGATGGAGGCAGTAAGGACCTCAGAAACGTCGGTAAACTTCTACCAGACTACATGGCACCACAACCCAGAAGACGGCAATCTTCAACGTGGAATAGGTTTGAAAAAGACTGATTGGCTGAGTAGGACAGTGGGTGGCTACTATAGGATAACAGCCTGCTTACTTGCCATCTTGTATAAATCTCCCAGAAATTCCTGTCCAGTACATACCACCCTGAAGATGTTAACTACAGTGTTTTCCGAATTGAATAACATTTGATGTCACTCATCCCTCGAAGTCAGCTTTACACTGAGCTCCAATCACAAAGACCAAAGGACAAGAATTAGACATCTCATCTATTTACACACGTCACTAACATTTAAAATATGTTTTATAGTGAATTTATTTAACATATTTTTCAGGGCATCCAGGACTCGTATTTGTTAAAATTGTTTGATCCAGTTATCTCTCCCCAGTGTTACTGTATTATTTCATTTAACAATCGTGGGGAAAGAAGAGATTGAAGGTTGTTTTTTTAATCCAGATATTAAATAAACATCGTTGTTTTATCACCAGTTTATAACCTAATTAATCACCTGTACCACAATTATTGTTGCGAGTCCCTCTCCACTGCTACAGCATTGCAGTCAGCCTTGTAAGTCGACCAAAGTGCTGAAATGTTCTAGCAGTGTCTGAATCATATCAACGCATTTCCCCACCACAGCGTCAAGCAGAATGGTACAAATTTTGGAAAAAATCAAGTGGCAGCTTGTGAAGAGTTGGGGGCACACTAACAATTACTAGATCTATAAATATGAGCTCCTTCTACAATCACCCAGCACAGTGTTGAAGTAATGAGTGAGATGGTAACCAAGGAGTTGTGAAGTCAGTGGAGAGTTTAAAGTTGATGGTCACAGGAGCACTGTTACTGACCAGCATCAGACCAGATGAACACCATTATGACAGAAGAGAATTTTTATATTCAGAATTGTAATAGTGTGAAATAAATCTGTTTTATGTTTTAAACCAGGGGTCGTCAACCTTTTTATACCTACCGCCCACTTTTGTATCTTTGTTGATGGTAAAATTTCCTTACCGCCAACCAGTGCCACACGTACTGCCCACCACCATGAAAGAGGTACAGCTCGAAGACTGAATGATGGCCGGTGGTAAGCCCCGCCATCGTTATGCGCACTAAACTTGTGCCTTTGGCTACGGAGCTCATTCGTTGCTCCCTCGTCCACGAGTATACTTCGAGAAGTGTCCGGTGAATTATTATCTATATTCAAAGTTTAGAGATGGAATTCAAAAGTAAATTGCAAAAGAATATTTTAAAAAGTCAAAATCGCGAAGTTGTTAGCAATGTATTTGATATATGGAGGAAGAACAAAATTTGTAACAACGGACAAAAACCCACACTGCCCACCATGAAAGCTTGAATCGCCCACTAGTGGGCGGTAGGGACCAGGTTGACAACCCGTTTTAAACAAAGAACCCACTGGGTTTATTCTCAGATCACTTTCATCAGCAGAAGTACCATGTTGTTTGTCACTTTTACCTAAAGTAATTAGTAAAAATGGAACAGCTTTGCATATTTGAATAAAATTCAGACTAGATGAACACCATTATGACAGAAGAGAATTTTTATATTCAGAATTGTAATAGTGTGAAATAAATCTGTTTTATGTTTTAAACCAGGGGTCGTCAACCTTTTTATACCTACCGCCCACTTTTGTATCTTTGTTGATGGTAAAATTTCCTTACCGCCAACCAGTGCCACACGTACTGCCCACCACCATGAAAGAGGTACAGCTCGAAGACTGAATGATGGCCGGTGGTAAGCCCCGCCATCGTTATGCGCACTAAACTTGTGCCTTTGGCTACGGAGCTCATTCGTTGCTCCCTCGTCCACGAGTATACTTCGAGAAGTGTCCGGTGAATTATTATCTATATTCAAAGTTTAGAGATGGAATTCAAAAGTAAATTGCAAAAGAATATTTTAAAAAGTCAAAATCGCGAAGTTGTTAGCAATGTATTTGATATATGGAGGAAGAACAAAATTTGTAACAACGGACAAAAACCCACACTGCCCACCATGAAAGCTTGAATCGCCCACTAGTGGGCGGTAGGGACCAGGTTGACAACCCGTTTTAAACAAAGAACCCACTGGGTTTATTCTCAGATCACTTTCATCAGCAGAAGTACCATGTTGTTTGTCACTTTTACCTAAAGTAATTAGTAAAAATGGAACAGCTTTGCATATTTGAATAAAATTTATATGTTATGTAGAAAATGCTTATGTGAGTGAACAAAATATTTAGTTAATCTGGTTGATTCATCATACAGAAGAATATTTCCTACCTTGAAAGTATTTATTTTGTCATTTGATCACATTTAATCAGAAGTAATGGTGATTAGGAACCTGATGTATTGGATTCAGGCTGAAACCTGCCTATTTGACTGGTCAGTGGCTGATTGACTAACCGTCTGATATGAGATGCCATAGATTTTTCAAATCTTTTCTTCTAAACCTAACTTTAAGTGTGACCTCTTATACCACAAGATATCTGATCAGCTGTCAACCAATTGAAAAGATGGGTTTGAGCTGTAATCGAAGAGAACGCTAGTATTATTAAACAATGATTCAGAAAAAATGTGACTGAACAATACATAATAACCATTTATATAACTGAAGATTACAAATATTTTTCCATATAACACAAAAATATGCTGCATTCAGCTCCTTAAAGCTGTTTGCTTTTAGAACTTTGTCTTAATCCACAAGCAATCCGCAAAAATGATTTGATGAATCTTCAGCTGGCTTCTTCGATTGAATGATTTATTGCACATGTCACAGTAATATTGATGCCCCTCACCATGTGAAACTTGGTGTTCTGTTGAGACAAAAGTATTACGATAAGACAATAGGAAAAAGAACAATGAGTTTGAATTGAATAAAAATTTACTTGGATATTATCCATCGTCTAGTAAATATAAAACGTAAAACGACGTTTCGGAGATGGGACTCTATCTCCGTCTTCAGGTTCCTACACAGTTGGGCCCACTAGATAGAGCTAATCCCATCTCCTAAACGTCGTTTTACGTTTTATATTTACTAGACGATGGATAATATCCAAGAAGTCCGGAGATAGGGATTAGCTCTATCTAGTGGGCCCAACTATGTAGGAACCTGAAGACGGAGATAGAGTCCCATCTCCGAAACGTCGTTTTACGTTTCATATTTACTAGACGATGGATAATATCCAAACATTTTATTCAATTGACTCTTCACCATCGTCAAGAAGTTTTAGATCTGATATTTTTATTCATGGCTTTACAGATCATTTCTCTAGGACTCCGTCTATTTTTTATCGTGTCATGTGTTCCACAAATTACAGTTGAATCAGGAAGTGAGGAAACCAAACTTAGTTGATACACACCCTGTTTCCTCCGTCCTGCAGCCATCATTTTGAAAGCCACAAGAAGCAGACGATGCATAATATCTATCTCATTTACGTCTTCAAGTTTCGTGTAAGATTAATGATGCATGAAATGAACCTTATTGATTTCCTCACTTGGTTGTCTCAGAAAATAATATAAAAGTCAGTAAATTCTGAAAGCTGTCCATAACTCTGGCTCTGTTAAGTGAATTAAGTGTCTTTCCCACATCTAAATCTTTCTTTTCATTGTCCATTTCGCTGGATGTATTTGTGTGGACCATAAAAGGCACGTAGATACGAAATATAGACCAGACATAGGCGTCTGCTGGTCACAGACAAGCCTGTCATGCCTTCTGGGTTATTGCGCCTGTTATTGTCGACGGTGGACTTCGGTTTTCATACGTTGCATTTATGTCGGTGGATTCTCTGTGCTTTCAACCAGTAACATTTTGAATCTGGGAATTTTTGTGTGTTGTTACTACAGACCTCTCAGGATACACTTAAGGCCGTTATTGTATCAAAGGTTTTAATGTTTATGTTGGTTTTGTAGCTTTCATGGTGTTGGATGGCAGTGAGGTAAGGTCGTACATAACAGCAGCAAGTATATTGCCGGAATAATAATTTATTTGCTGCTGGAAACTGCTTCACAATGGTATTGACAAAGAGTATTATAGGCTCTTTGTCACCAGTAGTAGTAAAGGATGGGTGAAGGAAGTAGGCATAAAAAAAAGAAATTCTGGAACCATCAATGAATAACAAGGGCGAGCAGGGAATATTGAGTAGTGGTCATGTGATTTGTTTTACCTTATTTTTACTTCCTTATAGATTTTTCAGTGTGAATTTGGTACTGAAGAGTATTAAGCAAAAAATTCTGTCCTAAGCGTTTAGTAGGCAGTCGACTTCATTGTGGTTATACACATTGCATTTTAAAAACGAATTAATGGATACTTCGGAAGATAGGTTATCTGTGGTCGATTGCGGCCATCAGGGTTGTGGTTGTGACATTTTCGTAGGTGGTTTACCTATCTGCGGAACGTCTCCATCTTTAGTGTCACGGCCACAGATAATACGAAGAAACAAGAAGACTTTTATTTAATAATTTATTGGTACCTTTGTTTACCGATAATGATATTATTCCAAGCCGAATAATGGTTCTGGTGCCTATTATTTGTACAATTTTGTGATAATCTGTGAATATATTCCTGGTACATGGGTTATAATACCTGGAGTGCCTTTATTTTTATGGTGTGTTACATGTTTCCCCAGATTGAAAGTAGCTAACGTGCCCATTTTAACTGTAGAATTGAATGAGGTGGAAAGGGTCGTAAATGTTCAATACGAAGGGATTTAGAGTGTGTACTGTGGCTTATTTGAGGGCACTGTATAGGCATTCTCTTGAAGAGACTGGCAAAAAAATTTATTGGAACCTTTGTTTACCGATAATGATATTCTTCCAAGCCGAATAATGGTTCTGGTGCCGTACGAAAAATCCATTCATGCTAGGTAATTCAAGCTGAAACTTGTGTGCATGCCCTCCAAATACAACTGTTAGATGTAGCTTGTGGTGTCTGTGTTGTTAGGTCATGCAGTCGTATAGGTGATTACAACATTCAAAAAAATAACCATGTTCTTATGTTGTGACAACCCAGAAGACCACAATCGACATTTGCACAGCAGTCAGAACCCAAAATTTTGAAAATGTAAGGGCATCACTGCTACATCATTTTATAATTATGAGTGAATAGTGCATAAAACCCTTTCAACTAATAATAAAACTTGGTTCATTTTTGTTTGTACATCATTTCATGCAAGATCTAGCACATTCATCTCCATTACTACTGGAACACATTTTGAAGAATTTTTTGGTTTGGGAAGATGAAGGGGCTGGCTTATATAAACTGTAATTGGGTGAATTTAAATTGTGTATTGTGTCTCACATACCCCACTTATTTAATCCTTGATTCAATCAGTAATAATATTTGGCAAAGTGTACAAGTAATGAAGCTCCTCATTATGCATTGTGCTAACATGGAAATCCAGAAAATGTTTGTCTTTCTTAATTTGAATTGTTTAAGCTTATATGTGGTCAACAAAACATGAATGAAAGTAATGTATGCCACAATGTAATGTCCTTTCTGTGCTGTTGCAAGTAAGACCAATCAGAGCTCATAGTTCTGTTGTTTAATATCTTATAATTGTGGTTTGTTTTGTTTGTATTACAGCTCCATGTGGACGATGGGTTGCCAGCACAAGTCTGCCAGCAGTGTGTGCATAAAGTGAATACTTATTATAATTTTAGACTGCAGTGTGAGAGTTCTGATTTTAAATTACGACAGTACCTGAGCACTGAGCTGTCAAAGAACCAGTTATGTTCAGTATCTGCAGCTGTGGTAATTATTATTATATTTATGTTGCTTTCATTACTCCAGAAGTTCTGTTATTTATAAAATGAGAGTAAAAAGTAATGGGGCTTATCTTCCTTATTGTGTGTCTAAGACAAACAGAATTTTTATTGCTTTTAGATTATGTGCACAATATAAAATTTGTCACATGAGATTAATTATGAAAACATATTCCAAGTTGAATGTCCAGTAGTCACATGCATTCTTAACACTGGTAAGCTGAAGATTACGTTTCCCTGGTGCATAACTAACCTCAACACCAGGCGGATATATGAGGGAGTGGAGATATAGCTCCATGCATTCTTAACCTTTTCTCTACAAGGAGGAGAGTGGTCAGATTCATGCCCTGGCCAAGGAAGGGACCTCAGTACCCATTGGGCATGAGGCTGGGTAGATTGTGAAGCTGGTAGTGGATGTTGTGACAGAATAATCTAGCTGTACCAGGAATCAGACCCTGGTTATGTAGCCTGCAGCTAATGACTGTACTGACGTGAGTTACCATGGCTTCGAATCATAACGCCGTAATTAGTGAAATGTTTCTGTGAACAGACAGGTTATGCATAATGATAAATGCCTTAATGCCCTCCTCATACTCAGCGTAATCTGTGCTGATTTTGTAGCGAGGAAACACACATTTTCGTGAGTTTTGATTTGTCAGCCACCAAGTATTTATTTGTGGTTTATAATTATACTTAAATATAACATAACAGAGTTCACAAAAGCCCACGACCGAATCCTAACATACGTGTCTACTTTTGAATGAAGATGATGATCTTGCAATTATTTTAATGAAATATTCTCAGTTGATGAACCGGAACTGCACGTAGCTAATAAGGAATTTTGTAAGATTTATAGTTAACTTCATTATGATTGCAGGTACAGAAACTCCAATCATCTTTGTGTGTACTGTACAGCTTAATGGTTAACATTACCAGATACACAATCAGACGGTGATACCTTACTTCTACTATGGACAGAGTAAATGCCCTTACAGTGTCCAAGTATTTACATGAATATCTGACATACATAATAAAATGTAAATTATTTATTGTTCATGGGATTCATCTGTGATCGTTATCCCTATATTTCTGTGTTTTAGTCGAGTTGAGCATCCTTGAACATGTTTTTTCCCATTCAGGTGTTCTCAAGTGAAAGGCACCAGAAAGTCTGCACAGCAACACAGATATGGAATAAAAGGCATTAGAGAGCATGATTCACAACTCTGTAAGAATATTAATCAAGATTCCATCTCATCAGTCTTAGGGCCAAACAAGACGACTGTTTTGTTCCCGTGTAGCATTTGTGGCAAAAGTTTTACGCGTAAGGCAAACCTGAAAGAACATATTACAAGACATGTAGGGGGACGACCGCACATATGTGAAGTGTGTGGCAAGAGATTTACAGAGCGTAGTAGTCTGAAGAAACATGCCATATCACACACAGGGCAGAAGGCTCATGTGTGTGATGTGTGTGGAAAGAAGTTTACGTTGCTTACACATTTGAAGACTCATACGTTGATTCATTCAGGGCAGAAGTCACATGTCTGTGATATTTGTGGCAAAAGGTTTAGTCAGCTAGGCAACTTTAGGAGACATGCCTTGCTTCATACAGGAGAGAGACCTTTCTGTTGTAACCTGTGTGGTAAAACGTTTGCACAGAAGAACACATTGGAAATTCATATAGCAGCTCATGCAGGCCAGAAACCATACACGTGTGATATTTGCGGTAAAAATTTTGCACAACGTGGCCATCTCAAGATCCATGCAATTGTACATTCTGGACAGAAGAATTTTTCTTGTCATGTGTGTGGTTCCAGTTTCACTAGAAAACATAATCTGAAGAAACATGAAGCTAGGCATATTAGCCATTAACGCATTAAATGCGATGGTTTAAAGCGTAAAGGTGGGGATTAGCACTGCCACAGGGAAAAGGAAAAACAAGTTATATTTTACAAATTTCAGAAGGGTTGGGGGGTGGGGGGGAAATGAAAATGTTACAACCTTTCAGCAGACTTTTAAAGTGTGATATTATACGTTGTAGCCTCAGGATTCAGAGGAACTCATATTTTCTGCAATTTCTTCTTCTGTGGTTGTTCTGTTTTTTCCCCCAGATCTGTACTTTCATGAAACTCGTAAATACCCATTCAAAGGAATTAGGATCTAGGGAGGACCTGTAAATGCCTGCTAAGGCAACGGACAGTTGTCATATGTTCGATATGAGCTGCCTTATTTACAGGAACACTAAACAGAACTGTTTTATAAATGTTAGGGGTGACAGGCAGAGGCAGAATACAAGGGGGAGGGCTATTAAGTGGTTAATGGACAGGAACACGAAATAAAGTTAGATGGCTTTTTTCTGGGTTGAAATGCCATGTAGTCTGGTAGAAGTTCACAAATTTCTCATAAATTACCAGACAGTAAAATAGATTAGCAAATAAGTAAATTAATAAATGATAATTGATTTTTATTAAAATAATTGTCCTGTTTGATCAATTTGTGTATTGATCAGTGCATGTATGGTTTATCATGAAGTTGTATCAGAGCAGTTGTGTATGATGGCTTAATATAAAAATATATATTGTACATAATAAAATAGAAATGAATGCTGAAGTATGGTCTGCAAAATGTTATTCTATAGTTTTATTTTACATTTCTACATGATTTTCAGGTTTATGCCTTGCTGTATGCAGGAATATTCACAGGACAGTTTGAGATGTTGTATTGTGTCCAGACTCATTTATAAAGAAACAAACCAGTTGTCAATATCCCAAATATTTTTGCATCACATAAAATTGTTACCTGTAGTGTAACAGGACCTCATTGTATTATATGAATACATACATTGTGGTGCCATAGTCACTACATGTTAGGCATGAACTGGTTTAAATTGATGTGATAAACATACAATAAATTTTGATAAATTTGTATATGTAACAAAAGACACGTGTGATTTGAAACGGCTATGACATTGGACCATGTAATTGTAATATTTTTATTTCAGCCACTTGGTGTTATGTAAAATTTGAGGTTTTCACAGTGGTGAGTCTGAAGAATGCTGTCTTCTAGGTTGTTGCGCTGTGTAGTCTGGTAAATGTACAGCAACGTTTCAGAGGCCATGCTGCCTCCATCATCAGGACGATGACTTAGTATTAATTTTCTGTCAGGGAGACTTTTTCCGATTGTTTTAATGTTGGTATAAGAATTTAATATAATATGACTGCCTGTAGAAGATGGACATTTTTGGCACAATGTACTATAATTAAGAACATAACATATTTTAGACAGAGACATAATGTTTTTAGAGCCATTGTAAAAATACTGATAAAACGTCAGAAGTAAACCTGATCGCCTACCTAGCATGTAACCATGGAGCTGGTGTCCGGTTGGCAAGAGATATATTGTGGTATAGCAAGCAACTTTCTTGCCGATTATATCGTCGACGGTGGACTTCGATTTTCATACGTTGCAGTTATGTCGGTGGATTCCCTGTGCTTTCAACCAGTAACATTTTGAATCTGGTGTCGCCAAGCATTTCTCAAAAGTTTGGAAAGGTTGGCGTGTGGAGGGAAACTTTTATTCCTATTTGAGTATTTCACAGTGGTGAGTCTGAAGAATGCTGTCTTCTAGGTTGTTGCGCTGTGTAGTCTGGTAAATGTACACCAACGTTTCAGAGGCCATGCTGCCTCCATCATCAGGACGATGACTTAGTATTAATTTTCTGTCAGGGAGACTTTTTCCCATTGTTTTAATGTTGGTATAAGAATTTTATGTAATATGACTGCCTGTAGAAGATGGACAGTTGGTGACTACTTGATATTCTGTGGTTTCAGTTGGTTCATATGACATGGAAACGTACATGTGTATTACGTGATCGAGCGTGTTAACAAACTATGCCTTGATTTAAACTTCTGTAGTAGGTTCAGTAGTTTTAAAACAATTGTAGTTCTTTGTATTTAACTGTTACAGACGCAGGTAATTATATGCATATTTTATGTGTAATATACTCTCGGATGTTCGCTTTACTCACCTAACCTTGTTATGTTAATGTTTTAAATTCATATTAATAAGTGGAAAGCGACAGGTCAGCATTCTCTGGCTCAAAACATCATTAAGTTGGGATGGAAGGTTTATTTCGTTGGCTTGTAGAAATGAATGATTATATTGTATACTTAAATCGGTAGAGAGGTGAGTTTATTTGTGTGTATTCCACAAGGTTATGAAACGTTTGTAAGTGTAACCATAATTTTTGTTTCTTTGTTTTATTTGAATTGACACTAATTGCTTTTAAACGTCTATTTACTAGCTAACTGTAGTACTTTTCAACTTCTTTGTAGGTGTTGACATATGTTACAGCTATGTATGCTAATAGCACCTGTTATTTCTTGAACTTAAAATGAAATGATATAGAATAAGTTTAACAGCCGGTTTCAGAGTGACTATTTACATTATAATAATAATAATCGTAATCATAAAATAAAATTATATAATACATGTAGCACTTGCTAAAAAACAATATGTATCCCAGAAATAGCTGCTGCCCTATGTACCTTAGGGACAAGGTCTGTCTGGGGTACAAGGAAGTACATACCCCATAAAGTGGTGAAGAGATGGGATAATAATAATAACAATAACAATAATAATAATTTACTGAAATCTAACCAAACTTAACTTGGCCACATTTTACTGTCATCATAACACACTTTTAATTACACATGAAGCCCCAACCAGGTTGCTGTTTTTGACGTAAATACTTCTATACGGAAGGGTCATTCCGCAAAAAAGTGTTACGAAAAAGTGACAGGAAAATGAAATATCAACAATTTGTAAATATGGACTGACAACAATGGTCAGCTTGCATGCATTGTTATGTTACCTAGGAAACGTCATCTGTTCACTTGGCATTGTTGTGTTACATTACTTTCGTTATTGCGGCAAGAGCTGAGCTGTGAATCGTTTGTAGAAGAAGTGCTTCGTGTACTAGGTAATTTTGTGCTGGTAATAACGTATTTACGTCAAATTCTCTGGAACCGTGGTTCCAGTGTCAATTTTTTTTTCCACCGAATTTCTGTAGATGTGAATGAGGTAGAAGCACTGGCCAGTGTTGAAAAGTTACCACTGTTTCTGACTGAAATAACTTACGTATTTTCACCAACTGGCAAAACATGGGCGCTGTTAAGTTACATGTGTTAATAATTTATGTAATTTCTGTAGGATTTTTAAAAAGGAAGAGTTACTGATAGTCACCTAAACTCAGACAGACAATCCTATAAATATCTTTACTTTTTGGATTGCATTGTATGTGAATATGGTTCTAGTAATCATCTTTCTTCCCTGTGGGAAGAACTGGTCGGTTTAAGAACAGGGTGCTGAATGGAATATTAGGACCTAAGATGGAGAAGGCAACAGGTGGCTGGAGAAAACTAGTATAGTATTTATTTAACATTCAATGCCGTTCTTGCAGATCATGTTGATTGTAATAATTCTTACTTACCAGGCTTGCTAAATAAAGGCTGATGATGGAGCCATTGTCAGTAGTTACAGATGTGATGACGATACTTCGTCATTGGGACGAAGAGCATCAGGCTCAAACTTATGATCCTGTTCCAGCACTTACCAGGTAAATGTACTGACTTTGTCTGCCATAATATAAAAAGGTATGGTTTGTGTTTAGGTTTAGTTAGTGAGTGAGTTAATCTGGCAGTCAATTTAGACCAGTATCATTTAGCAAATACATTATCGATGTTCTGGGGGTGCTAATAATATACAGGTATGTGAGGTGTTATATTTAATTTTTATATCATCGTGAAATATGAGTTGTTTCAAAAGATTTTGAAAGCTATTATTTAAAACACATACCTGGAAAATGTTGCGACAGACCAGTTCATTAAATCGTGAGAAAGCTGTTGATAATTATACTTTCCCAGAACTATTGAACTAATTCACCTTGGGGCCAGAAATATTGCAGATATGTTTGAATTGAAATGACTATGTTTGTAGGTTGGCAGAAATCATTGAGGCTGAGACAGAGAATTATATGAAGATGGATCCTGATCCGTTCGATGAACGCCACCCGTCCCGTGCTGATCCTGATTGTGCTCTGGGGCACATACTGAAGGTGCTTTTTCGGAAGGATAGTTTCATGAATAAGGTTAGTTTTTTTACCAACTTATTAAAACATAAGAAATTTCATTTTAAACATTTTTCCCAAGTATTTGTATTTTTATTTCAGTATGTATCACATTTCCAGTGTGTAAATTTTCTGCCTTAAAGTAATTTCATAGTAATCAGATTATTATACCAAAACTATTAGGGCAGAGTGGGTGAGTGAATGAGGTTATGTAGCAAATAGGTCTCTTAATTTTTAGCCACTAGCCATCAAAATTATACAAGTTTCAAAGTAAATAGGTAATGTCTCCAGGATCAAGTATATTTATATGTGTGCATTTGGATGCCACGGTGGTCTAGCGGTTAGAACGCTGGCCTTGTAATCCTGGGGTCTCGGGTTCGAATTTATAACTTGTGTTGGGCAAGGCCGTGGTCTAGGCAACACGGAGTTTTCCTCCGTGGCATCCCAACAATTACTCCATTCACACACAGAAGAAGGCAATGGCAAACCCCTTCTGGATCATCTGCCAAGAACGTATATGAACAGGTCCCAGTCCGAGAAAAGGATGGAAGGATCCTGTTCATATGGACCTGTCGTCAGACAGAACACTAAATAATAATAATATAAATAATAATAATAAGGCAAAGTATTTGTTATACGTAAGATTAATATGTTGGGTGCCTTTCTGTCTTTGATAAATTTCTGGGTAAGATGGACGAATTCTAGTGAAAAATTACTAGAGCAGAAGACAAATGTGAACTTCATTTTGCGGTTTAATTTGACATGTTTTCACGTTTCACTATATCTGTTCTTGGTTGTATAAAGATTTAGTAATAAAGCAAATCTGTTTGTTGCTACTACAATACCATGATTGACTGTAGTAGCATTTTAAATCACTCAGTTTGTATACCTTGTTGTTTAATTTCTTGCAACAACAGGCAGTTCAGCTGTCGACGTACATTCTGATACTGTAATGGAACATCAGTTCAGTATATAATACTGTTATAATAAGGAAGTGATCTGATTAATTATAATTGACCTAATAACTTTACCTTTCAGCTGGTGAATGATTATTTGCGTGATAATTACTGGAGCCGAGCAGGAAATATAAACAAAGATTCTCGAAAATTAAACATAGCGGCTTGTCGCCTCATGTTGGACATTATGCCTGGTTTAGAGACATCTGCAGTCTTCCTGGTTGTAAGTATCACAGGCACATTTAGACCTTTGAGACCTTCTACCTAACATGACAGCCATAATTAAATGTATTAATGGGTAAGGTTACTGGTAAAGGTTGAAATAGTATAATGGTGTAGATCTTTGGCCATTAATTTCATCTACAAGTCGTACTGTTTGTTAATACTGAAGGAGTTAATGTAAGATGCATGTTGTATTCAAGTGAATAGCTCTCTTGCTTTGTACTTGGAAAGTCCTGGGTTCAGTTCTTGACCTGGTGACCAGCTGTTTGGTCGTAGGTTTTTTGTGGTTTTCCTCCATTCTTCCAGGCAAACTCTGGGAGAGTACCTTGAATCTTTGGTCTTTTAGAATACATTTTATTCACAGTATATATTGTTCATGTACACACTGTGCCATTATGTATCCAGTTTTATGTACGCTTTTTAAGAAATAAAATTATCTCAATAAACTTATTTGATATTTAGCCAGAGATGGAAAGTATGATTCTGCGCCTCTTCAGCTGGGCAGAGAAGTCAATCCAACCACTGCAAAGTTATGCTACAGGACTCCTTGCATCTGCAATGGAGGTTCAAGACATAGCTGCTAATTTCAGGTAATGTGGTAGGGTCATTCAGGGAGTGTATGTCGATGTTTTATTTTGCGGAGTTGCATTCTGTCATGTAACGCTGTCCATTAATTGCAAACACCAAATGACTATGATTTGCTGGTTGGTACCTGCAACCAGTAAGCTTACTTTAAAGTTACTAAAATAATGAATAAAAAATGTTTTTTAAAGATGCACCTTTTATTATTGAAAACTCCAATCTGTTGGAATACATTTCGGTAATCAGAATTTAGCAGCGGTGTGTTAGTGTTTACAGTACTGTGTATTTGTGAGCTACATTTTGTTATGTGTTACAAGCAATGTGTTACTTTGAATTTTTAACCCTTCCTTTTTTTTGTATGAGGACAAGGTTAAAATGATTTGTATTGTCAGTAGAATGTAAAACAATGGAGCATTGATGAGGAATAATTGGTAAGAAGTTATGATATATAGCATTAAGCTGTGTTCTTTTTGTCTGTTCCTTTCCCATAAACATATATTCATCTTATACCAGTGCTTATTGTTTATTTTGGAAAATACTTGAAACATCGTGACTCTGAAAAAAAACTTTTCACTTTGTGCTCCATGGAGTCAGGTAGTTATTTGATGGGAGTCAGTGCTTTGGTCATTAAGCATTCACAGAAATTATTTTCGTACTGCAGGGAACAGAATGCACGTCTGGTACCTCTCATGCTGCAAGAGCTTCATAAGTTGCAAGTAAGTTCAGCTGAGGAGCGACAGCAAGCGGCTCTGGCAGCCCGTCCGTTTGCTCACCTTGGCCACAACAACAGAGAGATCGTCGACATGGAGGCCAAGAATGGCATCACTGTTGCTAGCCGGACCAGGAAGAGAGTTTCAAGTCATCACAAAGAAAATGGTATTGGCAGATTGTTTTGTATTCTCTTGGTAAAATAAATTTTGCAAAATAAATGTCTTGTATAATACCACTATTTATTTTTGTGCAGGTGGCTTTTGGGAGCGTTCTCCACCACTGCTTAGTCCACCGCCATTAGAGAGTTTAGCAGACAGTACAGAAGCTCGCTTGAATGCTTCCAGCCCGCCCAGAGGCATAAAAAGGTTATTCAAGGAAAATGATGAAGGTAAAAAAAAAAAAATACTACACTGCACGTCTTTGTAAAACATTTTTAACAAATTTTCCATGAAGGTGATAAATTAAAAAAAACTTCTGTTGGCAATTAGTGAAGTTCTTTGGTCCAATACATTATGATGTGCCAGATATATCTAGTGTGGTGAGGGAGACATATTAAAGAGCTGTGAACATCATCGGATTATGTACTTGGAGTTTATAAATGTTCTTTAAAACAAATTTTAGATTGTCATAACACTTACTCAGTGTTATGAATAATTAAATATTATTTGATTTATTTGCCCTGTATTGCCACTTCTTACAGTGTACTGAAACACAAAAGAAGTTTGATCAAAGTAGTGGCTGCTTAGTGCTAAATATTTTCATTTAATTAGTGAAAGAAATAATTGAATTTGAAAACAGCAGTAAAACCATATACACTCTTTGGGTAATTGGATAAGTTGCATTTTCTTTGATTGACATGTAATGTGTACATGCATTTTGTTTAAAGAGATGTTTCATTATATACTTTATGGTGTATATAATGTCTTTATTGCAGTTTGGTAATTGAGAAATCCAGACATGAAAATTATATGTATATGAAAATAATATTTAGTAGTAGAGTCTAATGTTACATTTTTTTTTGTTCAAAAAGTCCTTGCAAATGCTGAAAGCTGGAAAAAACAGGAAGTGGCAAGTGATAGTTGCGTCATGTCACCACCTCCTCCTGCTCCGCTATCGTTAACTTTTACAAGACTTGGTCCAGCAATGTGTGGGACTCAGAACTGCAACTCAACGCCCACCATGGGTTCAGGTTAGTACTTTCATTATTAAATCATTGAGACTTGATCCTAACATTCTGTTCATCTATCAAACAGTATTTTAAAATTGTAAATTTTTAGTGTTTGACGCCTTGGCTATAACGGCGTACATTCAGCTAACTTTTACTTGGATCTACTGTACTTCACATTGACTACATCTTCAGTTTTAAGCATGTGATCGCATTGCTATGCGACTTAAGGCAACCACATGCTTCGGTCTGGAGCTGCTGCAATTGTGGTTCAAGTCCTACCTGAGTTATAGATGTTAGCGTACATTTTTATCACGACTCTTCATAATACTTGCAGCAACTCAGTTAACTCTTCATGCAGCCATGCAGTTGAAGCGCTGATTACGGTTGAAGGTTCCTGGTGAGGGAGGAGGTTGGGTATAAGGTTCCCAGATTTAATTTGTATCTTAATTGTGTCATGTTTGTGTTATATTAATACATATATTTATTTTTCCAGTCTATACACAAAACTTGTTTTAAAATAATGTTGTTAAAATTATTTATAACATTTACAATATAAATTGCATTATGTTATATTTTATGGCGCTTTTCTGTGTCGTATAATATTACATTTATCACAGCGCTTTTGATTTCGACGACATGTTTCGATGTTTACCACATCATCATCAGGCTTATCAATTCATATATTTTTAAAAACTATTGTACATTTGTGCATTGTGATGTGGTAAACATCGAAACATGTCGTCGAAATCAAAAGCGCTGTGATAAATGTAATATTATACGACACAGAAAAGCGCCATAAAATATGACATAATGCAATTTATATTGTAAATGTTATAAATAATTTTAACAACATTATTTTAAAACAAGTTTTGTGTATAGACTGGAAAAATAAATATATGTATCCCAGATTTAAACTTTCCTGGGAAGTTGGAGAAAGCAAGAAACTGAGTGTTTTATAAACCCAAAGTTTCATTACTGTGTTCACAAGAGCCTGCCACTGGCCATATCCTGAGTTGCTTGAAGCTAGTCTGTTCACACTATTTTTCTTTATGACCCATTTTAATATTTTTCTGCAGTTTATTCTCAGATCTTCCAAATGATCTTTTACAAAATTATGTGACTATAATTGTTCATGACACTGCCACGGTGGTTTAGCGGTTAGAAGGCTGGCCTTGTAATCCTGGGGTCTCGGGTTCGATTCCCGGCGGTGCCCGAATTTATAACTTGTGTTGGGCAAGGCCGTGGTCTAGGCAACACGGAGTTTTCCTCCGGGG